AGTACATTGGTGCTACTGCAGTAAATTATAGCCACCGAGGTCTAGTGACACGAGAGTAAGAGAATCTGATGAGACCGAGTCAAGTGCAGCGGGACGTGAAAGACGGACTGTGATAGGAAGATGCAGAAAGGAACCGAGCACTGAAAAAAAAGAAAGCTTAATCTGGAAAAGGTGGAATAGCAAGAGATTCGGCAGAGTACAAAAAGGTTGATGATAACACGAGGAGAGAGGGGAGAGCCAGAAAGGCCAGCAGCTCTTAATCACTGTGGACACAGCCCCCCGTATCACTGAAACAAACAGCTCTTCTCCTATCAGCCAGCAAATCAGCACATCATGCTAGGAGCCTCCGGCAGCACTACCCAGGAAAAAATTCCTCTCTCCATCCCACCACTGTAGCTGAGCGTCCAGCAGCTACAACCAGGTCATGGACTTGCTTCTTTCTGCCTCCCAGCTTTGCGCTGAATAAATGAGTCGATTACAGGCTTTTGATCAAAGTCAAAGGCAAAAGTCACTCCCGCTCTGCATACGCTGTAACACGAGTCAGGCATCTGGATGTCCTCTGAGTCTGGGCTTCGATCCTAAACCACTGCTTAAAATAACAGTCATCACTATTATAGGTTTTAACATGGATAAACGAAACAGGATTTGAATACTATTTTGAGAAATGCATTTTTAGATATCAATAACAGCTTCGTAGACTTTATCAAGGCGGACTCTTCTCTGGGAGACTTCGGTGAGAGGGTCTGGGTAGGACTCAGACCTCCGAGCTCCAGTGGGGTTTGAACACACAGTCATCCATCTCACTTAGACTCAGCCCTGCACCCATGCACCGACGTAATGATGGGTCCCATTATCGCCTTACTCTCTCACTGCTACTAAACACATTTCTCTACACCGGTTACTTATTCCATTTGTTTTTCCTGTCAGGACTCTGACACTGTCACTCCATCCGTTTAAATGGATATGCATATGCAGTATTTTTGCGTGACTGTGGGAGAGAAAAAGAAAGAAGCAGACAAAGAGAAAAGAGAAAGTTGAATGATCTGATACTTGTCAAATAAAATTTAGTTTCCATATCTTTAGTACTGTTAAAACCACAGAGAGTATGAGACACAGACAGGTAGCAGAGAATGTGATGGCAAGCTTGCACACAGTACAGAGCTTTTTAAAGGCTATAATGATATTCAATTTCGACAGGAATAGGAAAACTAGGCAGTGAGGGACAGAAGTACAGTGTGTTCAGTGAATTGTGTCAATAATAAAACATTTTTCCTAAAACAACTTCATAAAACAGTTTTCAGTTGTGAGTTTTGAAAATTGCATGTAATCTAGAACCTTCATACAGTGCATGCCATTGTAAAAACTTGACTTCATTTTTATCTGCATAAAATTTAATATGGCATCTACCCAAACTAAGGTCTATGATGTTGTACGAAAAGGTATAGACTGTTTCTATGAGATGAGAAGAAATATTAATTTTTTTTTTTTTAAATACAGAAAGTCACACTGTGTATATACAAATGACCAAAACCAATAAAACTATATTTGAAGACCATTGATGGAAATAGCAGCTTGTTCTTGGTTTTCTAGTGGCATCTAGTGTTTTTTTCAATATCATATTTTGTCAAAGAGGTAAAAATTTCAATTTACAGCTTCAAATATTTTTCTGCACAGCTTTTAGGCAGTGAGAAAAAATGGAACTAGTGAGGACACAAAATTCCTCATGATCTACAATAGAATTAAAACATTCCTTTTTTCCCCAGATAAACTCTTTTTATGGGATTGTGAGAGAAATAATAAATAATTAAACTTAACAAAAAAAAAAACTTCTAAGCACTAAGACCGCCCCATTCCTCAAACCGGCTGCCATCTGATTCATTATAGTAGCTAAAAGAGCGTAAAATGAAGGAATCATCATACTGATTGCCCCATTAACTTGATTTTCCACTCGTTAATTATAGTAATTAGTATGATCTTATATATGCTTTGATAAACTGGTCAGAATGATATAGCTTATTCTAGAACGAAAGACACTTCGTCGTTTATATACTTGAAAAATAACTCTGGGAAAGAGTTATTTATTCCCACATCAAAGAATTCCTCAAGCGTCGCACATCACAGTATCTCTTACACAAGAGTGAGTATTATTTCATTTATGTGATAACAGAGGCAGGCAGCTAATCACTTGCCCCTTGCCTGTACTGCTGTGGCTGGCACTGCAGATGATGATTTAGGGTAAATGCTACCGTCTGACCTCTGTGAATGTTAAAACATGCTAATAACCACTGCACATCTCTACGCACATGCCCAGTACAGACCGTCCTTCCCGATTATGCATGTCCACTCTCAACACTCAGAATGTCAGCTCTCCATGGAAACCAGACCCCTGAAAAGCACCCAGTCAATGACAGAAGACATTCCATGGCAATGAATTAACATCCAGTAGAACAACAAAGCGATCAAAGGAAATACAAACAGAGACAGAACAGTCCCAGCATTTGGCAGTTTGCTATTATGATATTGTGACAGAATACATTTTTATGTAAAGCAGAAATGTAAGCTACTCACCGTGGAGAGAAATGCACATTCCTGAATTAATCATTTAAAAAACTTTGTGACATGATAATCATAGTGGGTCAGCTAATCTAATACAAATTACTCTCCTCTGCTTTTAGAGGCAGTTTGTAAACCAAAGATCTCCTTTATTCTAAATTTCCTATGGTAGAAAAGTCCAGAGAGGCAGATAAATAATATAAGTATGTGATAGACAGCAGTTAATCATGGCATTTCCATTCAACATGACCACAAGAACAAAAATCACTTTCCAACAACAGTTATATTGTTGCTGTAGTTCAACTGGTAGTGCATGTAGAGTTCATGGGTTCAAGTCCCAAGGAACACACGCTGGCAATCTGTGTACATTGAACGCACCATGTCATTTTGGATAAAATAATTTGCTAAATGCAATAACGTAAATGTAAAACCTATAAGCCATAAAACATTACCTCTCATACCTGTCAAAAAGTAGCTGATACTGAGGCCGTTTTAGCTCTGTTGATGGATATGTGGAATGGAAAAAGAACTGTTCTGTCATGGTTCATCAGTCACAAAAACGAAAACAATGTATAGTGATACAAACTGTAAGCTGTGTCTGAACAAAACAAAGCACTAGAACATAACACCTGAAGACTGGTTGAAATACTTGCAACTCAAATGCATGAAAAGATTCCAACATATCTTGTACTGTATTAACATTTAGACAGTTAGAATTTGCAATAATTTAACTATATCATTTGGATATCAAATACTGATTCCTAAAACTGTTTGGCTGTAACCACAGTAGAAACTACATTCTCAAACAAGTTAATTAAATGTGAGTGAGTGAGTGAGTGTGTGTGTGTGTGTGTTTTCCTACCAAAACAACAACTATATTTTTAGGTTTAAACATTCAGTTAACTTTGATAATTAATTAATAGACTACGCTAATATTAGCTAGAAAAACTCTCTTATAAAAACCAGAGGCGGACAGTAACTAAGTACATTTACTTGAGTATTGTACTTAAGTACACTTTTTGAGTATCGGTACTTTACTTGAGTATTATTTTTTCTGGGAACTTATGACTTTAACTTCACTACATTTGAAAGACAAATATTGTACTTTTCACTCCACTACATTTCTATCAAGATCCTCGAAGTAGAAAGTCGTTACTATGTAGCAGCCTTGAAAGTCAGTGGGTGATTTCTTTCTTCTCTAAAACATGGCTTTCTTTTTTTCAGACAGTTTATCAGTAATCACTCTTGTGGGACTACATGAAGTGATTTCCCAGCATTCTTTGAACACTGACCAGCTGCAAATGTGATATTTATTTACAACAATTCAATAATAAGAAGTTAATATTGTGGTATATATTAGACACAATATTGTCTGATTTTGCTAAATTGTGTACATGAAAATATTAGCTATAAAGCCACAGAAGAACTGTTGTGCGTCTCCTAATAAAACACAATAAGTGTTTGACTGAAGCAGCACTGCAGACCGTTCTGTGTGTGACATCAAAGTACCGCGAGAGCGATTAGACAGCACTTAAAATGTTTGTTTTGATGTCAAATAAGTCTTGCTGTTTTGCTTTTTTGTTAAAGCAGTGTTGCTGTTGTAAAGTTATACATCTACAGTTGTGATTTTTTTTCTTCCTTATCACTCTGTATTTACAGGATTTCACTGTACTGTAGTTCAGTTGTACAGTTGCTTCAGAAGTATTGCAAGTACTACGTACAACAATAAAACAGTGCATTGACATAAAAAAGGAAATTTACTTTTGGTACTTAAGTACTTTTAAAAGCAAGTACTTCTGTACTTTTACTTAAGTAAAAATCTGTCTTTACAACTTTTACTTGTAATGGAGTAATATTTGACCAGCAGTATCTGTACTTTCACTCAAGTAATAGAGTTGAGTACTTTGTCCGCCTCTGATCAAAACTTTAACAACTAGACAATGAGCTTCTTACCGTTAATATTTGTATGGTACGAACGCCCGCGTATTTCTGTGGAGGTCAAGGTGCGTGTCGGGCTCGCGCGGGGGGTTATGGGACAAACAGCAGAAGAAGCTGAAAAAACGTTTAAAAAATCCGGAGAAAAATCATGTTTTAACATAAAGCAATGAACGAGGTGGACAAAATAGTGGGCAAATTAGAGACGAAAACAGCAGCACGGCTACCAATCGCTGCATAAGGACAGTGACATCTGTCGATAATGCTGAAAGTTGGGTCTTTGAAAAAATAAAGTGCATACTTGTAATAGTACGTGTTGACATCATTGACCGTTTATAACTACACTTTCAATTGTAGCTATAGAGTTAAATAGGGAATAATACTTCAGCTTTACTGCAGTGTAAAAAAAAATCATTTCACTTTGCTATTGGGTCATTCTACAGAAACGTCCACTTTTGGTATGGCAAGATGTCTTAAAATGTATTTCTTTTTTTAACTTTTACAACAGCTATAGCTTGTGAATTTGCTTTAGTTACAAACCAGATTTAAGAACATGATGTTTCATTGTAGAAAAGCAGTAGGAAAAATAAACTAGATGGAAATCTCTCAGAATGGTTTACGTGCACTGCTAAAGCTCATGGCAATTTATTGTAGTTTAGCTCCCTCTAGTGGTTTAGATAGCCAGTGCCACACAAAATTAAAACGCTGATTTGGCATACAAGTGTGATTGAAATACTCCATACTGAATAAGTGAAAATTGTGGAATAACAGAGCTGGAAAAGTGACAAAATAAGGCAGAGAATCATTCAGCATTCAGGATACAACAGTATCCTTATTTAAGTGTTGATTAGTCTACTTGATTTCAATCCCAAGGATCCTGACCTCGCCTTCAAAGTGCATATATTTGTACTTCTCAGCACCTTGACGGTTAGGAAAGTTAATCTGAGAACCATCATGAAGAGTCACCAGGAACTCCTCATTGGTGAAAGTGATTTTTATCTATAGGACAAAAGATAATATGTTAATTAAAATCCCGAGGGGTCATTCAATTTCATCCACAGCCCATTTATTATGATTACCATCTGCTTAAACAGCAGTTTCATTAAGATATATATGAGTCTTGCCTGGAACTCCTCGTTCTGATTAAATGGAAAGCTGGCCCCTCTGTGCTCCTCACACCAGTTGCCGCCCTGGAATGAATTGCACACTACAGTGTGCTGGTCACCATGGGCATCAAAACGAGGGTTCACGTGTAGTGCGACGTCCTCGGCGCTGTGACCAATGTTAATGGCAAAACTGCAAAAGAGCAAATGGGAGATATGACTCCTGGTGCTTATAAAGTCCTGAATTCTAGAAGTTGCTTTGCAGAGACTTACTTTGTGGAATCAGCATTGGGGACTCCTGTAAGAGTCAGAGTCTGTCCCGACTTGAAGGACATATTCTGCACAAGCATACCCTGTTAGAAACAGACAGAGCTGAAGTTACTCTTTATTTGTAATTTGATTTTCTTTTTGTATATCTCACTACTGGCATGAAAAGCCAAACATGTGTATCCACTTGTACTTGACTTGTACAGCTGGGCACTGTGCCTGATTTTCCCCAAATAGAGACTGTAGCTATAATGATGGAGTGGACAGAATCAGCCTCACAAAAGCAATGCTGTCAAATTTTCCAATGCGTTGAAAGGAAAATCCTAGTCCGATGGTGAAAGGCAAAGAGCCAGACTTGAACTTTCAAAAAACTGCAGATGTGGCACTGTTGCTCTATTGGAAAACCTCTGCATAGGTTCTGTCTGAAAAAGGTACAAAACTGTCACTGGAGCAGTACCCTTTCAAAACGTGCAAATATGTACTTTAAAACGTACTAATGTGTAGGACTATCTTTTAGGGGTAACTTTAGCTTTGTACTTCAGGGTACCACCACAGTGACGGCTTTGTACCCTTTTTCTGAGAAGATAGATACAAGAAGAGCTATCTTTTAATCATTCAATCTTTAAAAACTAGTGGCCATGCCATCTCTGAGAGATTTGGTGTAAGTTTAGAAGCCAGAGGCCTCTTTATGTGATTCACAGCTGCCGAGGAAAGTAGCTAGCTGTTGTAATGATGGCAGAAGAGATAGTGGCATAGTGGAGAGAAAGGAGGATCAAAAAGAGAGATAGGAAAAGAAGGAAAAAGGCACTTGAGAATGTGAAAGAACAGATGTGTAGCAGAGGTGAATTCTTTCCACATTAGTCGGTGCGAGTAACAATAAACCAGCTCTCAGACAGAAGTTGCTGCAGAACGAAACTCTCAGAGCAGTGCGACATGCCTCATTCTTTCTTTCTGAACTTTCTAAACTGCTGATTTAACTGCAAAAGGGAAGCTGGCCAGTGATGCTCAGTCTTTTGGATTAGCATAAGAATGACTGAGTCATGCTGCTTTAGCTGAGCTTTAGAGAAAGTGAGCTAAAGGTCTCCGTCTCAATGCCCCTGGGTAGGTTTCAGAGTTGGGCTTGAATTGGCCAGTCTTGCTTCATTTCTAGAAATGCCAAAGGATTGAACATGTTAAGGTAAGATAAATTGCCCTAAAATGTTGAAGGGTTACAGACAACGTGTATTGCAAACACAATAGCCAAGGCTACAAAGCTAACCTCTGTCTCTCCAGTCTTCAGTGTCACATAATCCACCAGAAGTCATTCTAATATGCTGAGTTGGTGCTCAAGAAACATTTATTATTGTTACAGTTGAACATGGTTGTGCTACTTAATATTTTTGTGAAAACCGTGATTTATTTGATTGAACATTTATTGGAAATGCATATATTTTTTGTAACAATCTATAAGTCTTTACTGTCATTTTTGGTCAATTTAATTAATCATTTCTGAATAAAAGTATTAATTTACTTAAACATTTGAACTGTATACATACAGTGGGTACGGAAAGTATTCAGACCCCCTTAAATTTTTCACTCTTTGTTATATTGCAGCCATTTGCTAATATGATCTGCAGTCCTGATTTTCTTGTCACTTGATGTGGTTACGCCACACTGTCATTGATTTAGTTAGTGATTTGGTTTTTGAAATGTTTTTCAAATATTAATAACTATACAAGTTTGTCTCACTACTTTTTTTTTTTAAGAAAATAATAACAACAACAACAGTTTGTTCCAAACTATTTCCAGTAGTTTCTGCCTTTTAGTGAGACACATGAGATGCAGGCATGTTTTTATGAATTGCATTTCGTAATGTATTTCTAAATACCTTGCAATAGCTGTGGACAAAAAATAAATAAACGTAATGTAATTAACCAGTACAGCATTGTGATAGAAATTTGGAGGTCACACCCATGCGCAATGCACGTGGGGGCGCTTCAGTATACACTAATCTATAATAACTATGCAATGCACCAAACAGACAGCATACTGCACAGTATAAATAGAAATAAACACCAGACTTCAGCTGCTACGAGCACTGTATTATTTGTGCTAACGTAAGATAGAGAAGACATTCTAACATATGCTGTCTTAACTATAAACAAATCTTAAAAACACCATTGGACATAAAACTAAAGAATAATGTATCGTTTGAAAATTACTCACGCTCATTTTGAGTTCCTTTGAGAGCCAATGAAGTGAAACGAAGTGTCTGGGAGAAAGTTGCGTTGTGTGGAGGGCTTCTTATGTCCACTGCGGACTAGTGTTCAGATCTTGACCGATGTTTATTTCACCCAATTGGGTCTCTCTCTCTCTCTCTCTCTCTCTCTCTCTCTCTCTCTCT